GGAGTACATAATATTAATGATTTCTGTTTTTGATTAATTGTCTTCATTATTTTCCTATATGAAAAAGGGGAAAAATCGAAAAAAAAAAGAATAACTGTTTGAAAATAATATTTTATATATATGTTTTCTTAGATCCATCTTATTCCCAAAGTCTTTTGGTTGGAGTGATATTTTGCGGGATATTGGTCATTATCTTGACAGGAATGGTTGTTTTCTTAGTAATCCACATCTTCAGATTGAAAAGGTAAAAAATGGCTCTGTATGTTGATTCCTATTAATTATAAATTGACTTAATTCACGAGTAACAATGTTAACATTAAAACACATTTATTTGAGTGAAAATGTTGGATTCAACGTATTTAATATTTTATCACTATTTAACAGAAGACACTTTTATGATGAAAAAGAAGGCATTCAGAATGCAGAATCTGTCTCTTCAGCGAGTCCAAATTCAAGCTATATCACTCCGATTCAAGCACCAGATGATATTCAACCTGAACAGCATTACAGAGAACTCTCTTTTGTTAATGAGTACGTAGAAAGTGTGCAATGAAAACAACATTAAGAACCGAAAAAATATCTTCAGTGTATCCTTATACATCATCTAGAACCACAACAAGACATAAGAGCTTTAACAAAAGATTATGAATGGGAGACTTATCTATAGCATATATAAGATCACTTAATACATTATGAAGTAGAGGAGTAATATGTGTGGGTAAAATATTAAAACACTACATGTTGTAGCTAGTATATATAGATATTACATTCAAGAACGACACTTTTTATTTCCCGATATATACTATTTATTAAAATAATCCCTAACTTTCGCTTGCAAAAAAATATGCATTTAAATCAACACACACATAAATATTAGCTTATTCCCAGTTACATTCTAAAAATATTTCTTTTTACAAATGTTTTCTTAAAAATTAACATACATCAAATCAATCACAAGGTAAAGAGAGGCACCATCTTGGATATATAATAGAAAAATGTCTGCTGAAACTTAACATGTGCTATCAATTTCGGTCCCTCAATGTCTAAGATTATGACTCATCTAACTAAAACCTCACATTGTATTTGCAGTAAAATATTTCTCCTTATTTAAGTTCTTTACATGTAGTTCGTGTTTGCTCTGCTCCTGTTTTGTATTGTTTTATGGACTTTAGATCTTGAATACTGTTCGTTTTCTCCATTTATTTCATTTAGAGATGCGAAAAGGAGGTTGGAAATTAAAATAAGTTTGGAATTAGAAATGCCTTACATGTACATAAATATGTTTCGTTTACACATATTGAAGGCAAAGTCATTTTGCGTTTAACATCCTTTTTTTAAATTAAAACTAGAGGTACTGTGAGCAATTAGCTCACTAAATAATACCCCCCGCCTCCCATATGAATATAATGGCAGTATCCATGTTTTGCTCTGGAAAATTCAAAATATATGTCAGATCAAAAAGTAAAATAGGAGGTGCACAATGGCAATATGTAATAAAGATTCTGTGAAAGTTTCATTAAATTTCCTTCGTTGGTATGAGAGTAGTTGCCTATAAGAGAAGGGTATCCAAAAGCGTAACAGACGGACGGACAGACGTACAGACGGAGGGAATTAACGATTACTATATACCCTCCCGCTTTTCAAGCGGGGGGTATAAAAACACTTTTAAAAAATTACACGTCCACCGAATAATACATGTAATAAAAGATTTCTGAGGCAGTGGAGTATACATATACTTTAATCATGAAAAAACAAATGGCTTTATATTTTACATTGTATATATAATAGAACGTGGAATTATTTATATATTTTTTTGAATTGTTAAAACATGCAAAAAATCTTATTTGTTTCAAAGTTGAGTGACTGTTATATAAACGTAGAAATTATTGATAAAAAGCGTATGTTTTCCAGTTCCAAGTTGGGAATATGTGACAGGAATCCTGTATATAGTGAACATTTCGCCGCCATTTTATTTTCACCCCTTTTGCCCTAATCATAGATGGGCGAATTTAAAAAAAGAAGGGTCTAATTCAAAGATCACAGTATTCTTCCTTTAGAAGAACTGTGATTGGGTGAATTTTAACGGAGTAAAGTTGTTTTAAAGCAAAAGAGGGCGAAAATATCAAGGGGCGAAAATTACCCTGTCTAAAATAGATATTTACTATCTGGTATCATTTATTACTAATTTCTTGATGTTCCAGTTTTTTTCAGCATTTCAAGCTATCTCAAATGTCAATATTTCATACATGTTTATTATTTGCCAAAGTGCCACAGGTGCAAATGATCTGGGTGTAAATTTTGGTCCATAGTTGGATCTTTTAAAAAAAATGCATAGACGTTAGTGATGAATTAAATGCCAAATTCATAGTTACCAAATTGAAAAAAAAATCGTGCATATTTTATAAAAACTTGGGTAAGCAGAACCCTCTCCAAAAATAACACCTGATAAATTTTGTCAAAAACATCCCGTCCACAAATTTTGCCTGTTTTTTGGAAAGCGATATCACAAATTTGTGTGAATCTATGTAGAAACTTTTCGTAATTATAATAAAAAACTTGTACATGTACCATATGTACACCCTTTTGAAATTTACATGACTGACGTCTAAACTGGACGTGCGACACGCAAGATTACATTTTTACCATTATTGTTATTGTATTGCACTAGGTTTGCGCATCAATTACATTATATCAATATAAAAATCATTGTGTGTTTAAAGTGGATTGCAATAAATTACCGGTAAGTTGACGGAACCTATGGCAGTCAGTAAGTATGTTTAATACAAGTTTAGGTATAAATTGGGGAAAGATTATCTGAAATGCAAACGAATAGGTTGTATTTATAAAAGGGTAAAAGATCATCGAGTAATACATGCAAGCTATATATTAAAGCATGCCCCTAAGGGTAATTCTAGAAATGTAAATAAAAATTTTGTTTCCTGTATTATTATGAATCTAATTGTATAATGGTTATGTACCCATGGCGTAACTTTAATACCCCTAAAACTTGAAAAAAGTTTTCAATATGACCTGCTGCAAATATAAATAAAATGTGCATTTAATAATACAAGCGTCTCCATATGAGTGAAAATCTATCGAGAGGGACGTTAAACAATATACAATCAGTCAATTTAATAAAACAATTTCTTGACATTTCTTTCATAATTTTTGGTCTGAACACCCTCAATGAATGAGAAATGAAAATATTCAAGAGATAAACACTATTAAACTTGTTGGAAAAAAAGATCTCATAAAATTAAGAAAGAAAAAAAATGCGCTTCTCTGAAAACTTCTCTACTTGTAAAGGTTTGACCCTGTGTTTTACTAATACTTGGAGCACAGGTACACTATACAATGATACATAATCATTGTGCTTATCTGTTGTTATTATGATTATTATTTATTTTTATAGGTCACCATCAATCATGCCTCAAAACATGACCAGGCTTCTGCGTAGAAGGAAAGAAGGTTCTGGGAATCATATTTTTGTAGAAAAAAATGTTGGTATCCGTTTCCCCCTAGGGTAATGTTTAAAACTCCAAAACTATTTTACACACTCCAAAAGGTTAATTGGATAACATTTAGAATAAAAGAGGAGTATGTAGAAGAAGAAAGTTTGACAGAAAGACAGGCGGATTGAACGGGGTACATGTAACAACAGTATACCCAACTTTCCCATAGAATTATGCGGGTAATTGATAGACAATACATGATTTTGCGAATACTTAACTTAGCGGAACTCTTTCGCGATGGAGAAAAAAACGCCTGTTGGATAGGGGCAAAGGTACTATTAAATACAATTCAAGATCGATCATTGTAGAATTTATAAGGCCAAATAAGTAAAAGAAAATCCTAGTTGAATACCTTTCGAAACAATCGCTGAATCAGCCTTATTACTTTTTCAGAGGAGCTAATCCTAAAATGTTAGATTTTTTACGATATTTTTAACTAAGCGGGCTCTTCCCCATTAAAAATAATTACATTTTAAAGCTGATAAAATATTCTGAACTTTTCTTATTTGACAATTTACCATTTGGAGTTCAATTTTTGGCAATACATTGTACTTTCGGCATATTATTTTTGGAATCATTCGATTTTCACTACTGTAAACAATGTCATGTGCCCCAGTAATCTCGCGAGATTTAGAGCTTTCTCGACTCCTCCGGAGAAAAGCGGTAGTAAGTTAGATAACTGCGAGGTAGACGAGATATTACGTATTGATAACTATAATTTTCTAATCAGTGTACAAGATTAAAGCTGGGCGCCGTAAAAGTATGGATCTTTCTTATTAAGATCACCTTGCCACTTATCTTGAAATAGGAGTGTTAAGTATTTGCAGTACTTTGTTGATTAGAAATTTAAAAATGAAACAATGTTAGCAATAATACGTAGTATGTTTTGCAAAGGAACGTTGAAAAATAAATCTGGAGATATTAACACCATGTGCAAGTGTTAACAGTGTGTTGATAAAAAAAGGATAGCTGACAATAGTGAAGTCATCTCGTTTTCCTTCTCCTTCGTTGTTTAAGGGTTTTATATCTTTCCCCGTAAGGTATGCTGTCCTTTCGAAGCCGGTAATTCACTTTTTAAATTTAGTGAAGTCAAGGTAATTTATTTAGGTTACTGAAACAAAGTAAACTGATCGCAACAAAAAAGCCTTTCCAGTATGTTGAATCATGCACACTTGCACCAAAATACCGAACATTTTGTTCTTGTTCTTGTTCTAGGCCTTAATGTATCAGATTAAAATCATTCATCTTTTACAGAAAATGCATTTTAAATTTTACGTCTACGGATAGATTATTCACTTACTTAATCAATGAAAGAGTGTTATAGATACATACAATAATCAATCGTAGGAAGTATATATTGCTCTTGTAACCCTACTTATATATTTTTTTAGTTCCGTGTTTCCCAAGGCGATTTGAAATGCTTCCAAGAACAGTTTACGTAATATATAAACAGAAGAATATCATACTTAAAATGATAAAAGGAAGCAAGTTTTATCGCTATTTTGCAAACAAGGAAATCATTGTATATTCTTGATATTTTCTTATATGACACGTTTACACAAAAAGACTTTCTTTTTAAAACATTGATAAGAATAATGGCAACTAAATTAGGTAAGTCATGCACATGAGCTTCTGTTAATGATCTTCTTATCACTGTACTTGTATAAAAAGGCATTAATGTTTTGAAATCAACAATTAAGATTAAAAGTGGGACATTTATTCAGAAAATGTTTTAGACTGATCGTGAAAGTCAATCGTGAAATTATTGCGTTAATTTAAAAATGTTGGCATAACAGCGCATTTTAAATTAGGTCTTACGTACTAAAATATATTGCGTTCTTTTTTCTTTGTTAAATTATTGCATTTACCCACCTCATCCCCCCCAAATATTTTTCAAAACTGACAAAGAAAAATTATTATTATACTAAACGATTTTTTTCCAATATATTCCAAACTGAATTCATTGATTGTATTTTACTAAAAATTGTCAAATTTCATCGAAATTCATTGAAATCGGTATTCAGTATCAATACTTTTTAAAGGAGGCTTGGGGTCAACAAATTAATCACAAATTAATCACCATATTAAACTTATTTTATAGAAACGGTATCTTAAGCTGTCAACTATCATTGAGCAAGGAAAAATTCACACATTTTAGTTTTAAAATTTGATCATTTTTGTATATCTTTATATGGAACTCTTCTTTTAAAGGAGATCGAAATATTTGAAAATGACTGCCACCCCCCCCCCCCACCTCCTTAATTAGTCTAAATACATAACATACAATCAAAAGCTTACTTCAGCCTTCGGCTCAGGTGACCTAAAAAAAAGATTGAAAGAAAAAGTATTAGTACTCTTCGATACTAAACAACAAATAAATTTCATTTAAGGCGCTGATATGGGTACTAAGGTATTGCAAACAAATACAAACATCATATTAGAATACCTAAAATCAATATATTCAAGTATTTAAGTCACATTATCCAGCGATGGGGTATACAATGAGAAACCGATGCGGTTTTATATATATATATATATATATATATATATATATATATATATATATATATATATATATATATATATATATATATATATATATATATATATATATATATATATATATATATATATATATATATATATATATATATATATATATATATATATATATATATATATATATATATATATATAAATGGCGTTGTTGCCTACCGGACACTTATAGTAATCGGACGGTCTGAAGTATCAGTCACATTCTTAATGCCTAGGTCACATTTCCCGGCCGGTAGCCGTAGACCGGTGGTAATCTGTGGTAATCCGTGCTGTTTAGGATGCCCCAACATCGGTATACCTCGGCCTAGTAGTACTTAAAGTATCAGTAACATTATCAGCGTTGGGTAAACGATGGGCAACCAATGTGTTTATGATAAAAATGGGGTGGTTGCCGACCCGATTTATGCCTAGGTCACATTTCCCGGCCGGTAGCCGTAGACCGGTGATAATCGGTGGTAATCCGTGGTGTTAACGATGCCCCAACATCGGTCCACATCGGCCTAGTAGTCCTTAAAGAATCAGTCACATTATCCAGCGATGGGTATACGATGGGTAAACAATGCGTTTTATGAGAAAAATGGTGTGGTTGCCGTCCAGCACAGCGAAGCATTGCTAATCATAAAACGATGTTCCAGGATAATCGGCCGATGTATATTACATCGCTCATACATTGGTGAACATCGTTCGTACATCGGTCGACTACGGGCCAATGTTTGGTCGAACATCGACCGATGATCGGTCGTTATCTGTTGAACACCACTAAACTCCCCGATGACCTCAGATTCAACGGATATTGGACGATGCTCGGCCATACATCGGTCGATCCCTGAAAGATGTGTTAATGATGGGTTGCCGATGAGGAGCGATGTGAGGCATCGTTGGAGACATCGCTGAATTTTAACTACGAATTATTTCCTACCGATGACCCCACCGATTCGCAAAAAAGCCTCAGTCACCGTCCGATCACTAGTGATGCCCGGCCAGCAACCACGCCATTTTCATCAAAAAACGCATCGGTTTCTCATCGTATACCCCATCGTTAGATAATGTGACTTATACTTTACAAAGGCTAAGTGATGCATTGCTAATCATAAAATGATGTTCCAGGATAATCGGCCGATGTATATTATATAATCATATATTACAGTAACATAGAATTTACATCTCTCTATGGGCCAATGTTTGGCCGTTATCTGTTGAACACTATTCAATCCCCCCACTGACCTCAGATTCAAAAGACACTTGACGATGCTTAAAGAGCAATACAGCGCCAATTGCACTTTTAGAGATGTGTTAATTGATGGGTTGCCGATGAGGAACGTATGTGAGGCATCGTTGGAGATTTCGCTGAATTTTAAATACGAATTTTTTTCGAAATGACCCCATCGATTTAAAAAATGGCCTCAGTCACCGTGCGATCACTAATTTACCAGTACCGTAAAACCACGAGATAATAGCAATCAGAAAAAACATCTACTTTCTCATCGTATACCCCATCGCTGGATAATGTGACTGATACTTTAGCGATGGGGTATACGGTGAGAAACTGATGCTTTTTTTATGAAAATGGTGTGATTGCTGGCCGGACACCTATAGCAATGGGACGATGACTGAGGCCATTTGGTCAATCGGTGGAGGGGCATAGGTTAGGGAAAAAAGTTGCAGTTAAAACTTTCCTCTTTCTTTTTACCTGCCCTACATTCCTATGCCTCCATGACTTTCTACTCCTGGTTGGAGTGGGGAGATACTTCTAATTGGAGTCGGGAGAAGATGACTCTCGCACACTCATCTCTCTCTCTCTCTCTCTCTCTCTCGGTCAAGAGAGAGAGAGTGGGGAGATAGAGAGAGAGGAGAAAGAGATTGGGGAGTTCAACAAGAACATTGGCCTATAGAGACCGACGTAAGTACAATGTTCACCAATGTAGAGAGAGAGTGTGTGTGTGGAGAGAGAGAGAGAGACAGGGGAGATAGAGATGCATGGTCTTTGTAAGAACCCAGAGAGAGAGAGAGAGAGAGAGAGACGGGTTTTGAAGCAAAAATTAGGTTTTATGGGGGTGAGAGAATAGTTGTAGCAGTTCATCGGCCGTTGGGGCCCGATTTTGAAAGGAGTCAGTAAGTGATATTTGGAGGAGAGAGTCCAAGTTATAATTTTTTTCACATGTGCCGTCATCAACGTTAGCGAGGAGCTGAAGTTCGGTGAGTCCATATTGATAGTCTCTATAAGTAATAAATTCATAATACTCTTCGACTGCCCCTTTTACAGTTTGAACGAGGGTGTAGATGAAGGAAGGTGGCAATTTGTGGAAATCAGGGCCAAATCATGGAAACTGATTTAGCTCAAACTAGGTTCAAAACAAGTTCAGCGGGCCAACTTGTGAATAAAATTTAAATTTTAACACAAGTAAAGATATATAGCACAGAAAAATTTGAAGTCATCACATTTATATATATATATATATATATATATATATATATATATATATATATATATATATATATATATATATATATATATATATATATATATATACATATCTATTTCGACGTAGGAAAAAAATTCAATAATTAATGAGTAAAGATATAAAGAAATCTTAAAATACTGCTTATAGATATGCACCATTTGTCGTTTTTATTCAATTCTATACAAAATTTTGCACACAGAATTCAAAAATTGTCGGAATTGGTCTCCAAATAACATATATATTGTTGCAAAGATAACTCACGTCACCTATTTGAATAAAGATCTGTGGGAAAAAGCAGAATGTGTTTTAACAAAATTATTTCTGTGTTATTTATCAGTAAATTTATCGGTTCCATTTTTATTGAAAAAGCAGCTGTCGTGTCGATATACTTGTGTCGGACTTCATATTTTTCGCGGGAAATGGTTGTGTATATATTTAAAAGTCGTTTTTAAACTATCGGCTAAAATGTCACCTGATTTCATAATATTGGCCAAAACCACGCCATTTTTATAAAAAAACGTATTGGTTGCCCATCGTATACTCAATCGCTGGACAACTTTAAGTTTTTCCTTCACTATTGTCAATATTGTGGACCGAGTAACGAAAGAGGCATCACTCACTACACGGATCGCCACCGATAACCACTGGTCTACGGCCACTGATCGGGAAATGTGACTAAGGAATAAGGAAAGTAAACTTATCGTTGTGTAAGGGAAAGTTGTATTTAAGTTGATAGAAGCAAACTGTTCATGATTCGTTTAAAAATATTCCACTATTGGACTTGACAATATGGATAAATAATCATATTACATTATGCTTCATAGGTTATACACCAATATCAAATTAAAGAAGAGACAAACGACGAAGAATTGTCATTTCGTATGTCATAAGCCATACTAGTCCCCTACTAGCATGTGTAATCTAGAATTTAAAATGCCATAATTTGAATAAAAATCTTTAAAGCGGGACAAAATGAAAACTTGATCTATGACTTGACTTAAGGTCAAGTCACATACGGCTTGGGGTAAAACTGTGAGTGTAGTGGAGTGGAGTGGATTCATGGAGTGGATTCATGGAGTGGAGTCTGTATCATAACAGTACAGAAGGTTATACAAACAAATTGATTTCTCTTACAATCATTCCTTTGCAATATAGTTTTGGGTTTATGAGTGCCAAATGAAAAAATAAAAATAATGATCTTTAACTGTCACATAGGGATGACGACTAGACTGCCGTTCATTATCAATGCACATAGGCAAAGCTATGAGTTGTTGACAGCTTTTACGTTACACACGTGGCAGCAATTATTTTTGATATTTAAAAAATGAAATACCAGGTAAAATGCAAAACAACCTTTGCACACATTGTACTTTTGTATTTTACAATTGTGCAGCATTTATAAACATAAAATTTCATCTTTTTAGGCTTGATAAGGGATGTCTTTTAATTCCCGTTGAAGACCAGTATTGTCAATATCTGATCAAAGATTGAAGGCTTATTATAATGAAAGTTTCTCACAACATTAAAGTGTATACCCGGTATATGTATGAAAAAAATATCTTATAATTTATTGTTTTATGCTTATCTTCAGTT